AAAATTGATAAACCATTAGCCAGACTCATCCAGAAAAAAAGGGAGAAGACTCAGATTAGTAGAACTAGAAATGAATAAGGAGAAGTAACAACTGACACTGCAGAAATACAAAGGATCATGAGAGAGTACTACAAGCATCTCTATGCCAATAAAATGGATAACCTAGAAGAAATGGACAAACTCTTAGAAAAGCACAACATTCCAAGACTGAACCAGGAAGAAATAGAAAATATAAACAGACCAAAGACAAGCACTGAAATTGAGACTGTGATTAAAAATCTTCCAAGAAAACAAAAGTCCAGGACCAGATGGCTTCACAGACGAATTCTATAAAACATTTAGAGAAGAGGTAACACCTATCCTTCTCAAACTCTTCCAAAATATAGCAGAGGGAGGAACAGTCCCAAACTCATTCTACGAGGCCAGCATCACCCTGATACCAAAACCAGACAAAGATGATGCAATGAAAGAAAACTATAGGCCAATATCACTGATGAACATAGATGTAAAAATCCTCAACAAAATACTAGCAAACAGAATCCAACAGCATATTAAAAGGATCATACACCATGATCAAGTGGGGATAAACATCCCAGGAATGCAAGGATTCTTCAATATATGCAAATCAATTGGTGTGATATACCATATTAACAAATTGAAGGAGAAAAACCATATGATTATCTCAATAGATGCAGAAAAAGCTTTCAACAAAATCCGACACCCATTTATGATAAAAAGCCTCCAGAAAGTGGGCATAGAGGGAACTTACCTCAACATAATAAAGGCCATATATGACAAACCCACAGCCAATATCATTCTCAGTGGTGAAAACCTGAAACCATTTCCACTAAGATCAGGAACAAGACAAGGTTGCCAACTCTCACCACTATTTTAATCAACATAGTTTTGGAAGTTTTAGCAACAGCAATGAGAGAAGAAAAAGAAATAAAAGGAATCCAAATCAGAAAAGAAGTAAAGCTGTCACTGTTTGCAGATGACATGATATTATGCATAGAGAATCCTAAAGACGCTACCAGAAAACTACTAGAGCTAATCAGTGAATTTGGTAAAGCAGCAGGATACAAAATTAATACACAGAAATCTCTTGCATTCCTGTACACTAATGATGAAAAATCTGAAAGAGAAATCAAGTAAACACTCCCATTTACGACTGCAATGAAAAGAATAAAATACCTAGGAATAAACCTACCTAAGGAGACAAAAGACCTGCGTGCAGAAGACTATAAGACACTGATGAAAGAAATTAAAGATGATATAAACAGATGGAGAGATATACCATGTTCTTGGATTGGAAGAATCAACATTGTGAAAATGACTATACTACTCAAAGCAATCTACAGATTCAATGCAATCCCTATCAAACTACCAATGGCATTTTTCACAGAACTAGAACAAAAAATTTCACAATTTGTATGGAAACACAAAAGACCCTGAATAGCCTAAGCAATCTTGAGAAAGAAAAACGAAGCTGGAGGAATCAGGCTCCCTGACTTCAGACTATACTACAAAGCTACAGTAATCAAGACAGTATGGTACTGGCACGAAAACAGAAATATAGATCAATGGAACAGGATAGAAAGCCCAGAGATAAACCGACGCATATATGGTCAACTTATTGTTGATAAAGGAGGCAAGAATATACAATGGAGAAAAGACATTTTCTTCAATGAGTGGTGTTGGGATAACTGGATAGCTACATGTAAAAGAATGAAATTAGAACACTCCCTAACACCATACACAAAAATAAACTCAAAATGGATTAAAGACCTAAATGTAAGGCCAGACACTATAAAGCTCTTAGAGGAAAAAACATAGGCAGAACACTCTATGACATAAATCACAGTAAGATCCTTTTTGACCCACCTCCTAGAGAAATGGAAAGAAAAACAAAAATAAACAAATGGGACCTAACAAAACTTAAAATGTTTTGCACAACAAAAGAAACCATAAGCAAGATTAGAAGACAACCCTCAGAATGGGAGAAAATATTTGCAAATGAAGCAACTCACAAAGGATTAATCTCCAAAATTTACAAGCAGCTCATGCAGCTCAATATCAAAAAAACAAACAACCCAATCCAAAAATGCGCAGAAGACCTAAACAGACATTTCTCCAAAGAAGATATACAGATTGCCAACAAACACATGAAAGAAAGCTCAATATCACTAATCATTAGAGAAATGCAAATCAAAACTACAATGAGGTATCATCTCACACCAGTCAGAACGGCCATCATCAAAAAATCTACAAACAATGAATGCTGGAGAGGGTGTGGAGAAAAGGGAACCCTCATACACTGTTGGTGGGAATGTAAACTGATACAGCCACTATGGAGAACAGTATGGAGGTTCCTTAAAAAACTAAAAATAGAGTTACCATATGACACAGCAATCCCACTACTGAGCATATACCCTGAGAAAACCATAATAGAAAAAGAGTCATGCACCACAATGTTCAATGCAGCTCTATTTACAATAGCCAGGACATGGAAGCAACCTAAGTGTCCAATGACAGATGAATGCATAAAGAAGATGTGGCACATATACACAATGGAATATTACTCAGCCATAAAAAGAAACGAAATTGAGTTATTTGTAGTGAGGTGGATGGACCTAGAGTCTGTCATACAGAGTGAAGTAAGTCAGAGAGAGAAAAACAAATACCGTATATATGGAACATATATGGGACACATATATATGTTTTCTAAAAAAAAGAAGAAAAGGTTTTGAAGAACCTAGGGGCAGGACAGGAATAAAGACGCATATGTAGAGAAGGGAATTGAGGACATGGGGAGGGGGAAGGGTAAGCTGGGATGAAGTGAGAGGGTGGCATGGACTTATATATGCTACAAAATGTAAAACAGAAAAAAAAAAAAGTAAAACAGATAGTGGGAACCAGCCACATAGCACAGGGAGATCAGCTTGGTGCTTTGTGACCACCTAGAGGGGTGGGATAGGTAAGGTGGGAGGGAGACGCAAGAGGGAGGGGATATAGGGATATATGTACACGTATAGCTGATTCACTTTGTTAGAGAGCAGAAACTAACACACCATTGTAAAGCAATTATACTCCAATAAAGATGTTAAAAAAAGAAAGAAAAAAAGACTGAATAATGAAGAAACAGAAAATCAGAATGGACCAATTACTGGTAAGGAGATTGACTCAGTAATCAAAAATTTCCAAGCAAAGAAGAGTCCAGGACCAGATGGCTGCACTGGTGAATTCTACCAAACATTTAAAGAATTAGTATCAATCCTTGTCAAACTCCTTCAACAAATAAAAGAGGAGAGAACAATTCCAAACTTATTTTCCAAAGCCAACATTACCCTGATACCAAAACCAGATGAGGACACCCATGATGGTTGGGGGAAGTGGGTGAAGGTAGCCAAAACATACAGACTTCCAGTTTTAAGATAAATAAACTCCGGGGAAGTAATGTACAGCATGGTGACTACAGTTAATACTACTGTGTTGTTTATTTGAAAGTTGCTAAGAGAGTGGATCTTTTTTTTTGATTTAGATTCTGTCATTTTATTCACATAGTACCCAAAAGACTGTTTCCATGATTAAGCAGTAATTCACAATACATGTATCTTTTCAGGCATTTGCTTCTTTAATAGATGGCTTGTTCCTCCCTTTAATTATAAAAAGAATGAGACCCAAATAAAAAGACTCCTACATTTTTAATAAATGAAAATGTACAAAACTCAATACTTATTCATATTTACTAGAGCTACAAAGTATAATCACTATCAGAAAATTCTAAAATTAAAATTTGTATTCTCCTCTCCCCTTACTAATCTACTATTTATCAATATTCTAACTAAGCAGAGCATGTAATCCCACATTTGTCTCAGGAGTTACTCCCAGCACTAGATATGACTGGATTTTCTGATAATGAAATGTTTACCCTTCATGAGGTACAAAGTTCACCATGAGGCCTATCTTCCCTTCTCCTTCTAAGGACTTTCATTTCTCATGGTTGCCTCCATATTGGGTAACGGTGGCACCATGGGAGACACGACAATCCATGTGTTCTTGTAATACATACAGAGTTTTATTAAGAATCCCTGGAAAGGGGGACATTATGTTATATATTGTCAGAATACTTAAAAAAAAAAACAGTCATTTACTTTTTAAACAAGAGAATCTGATTGAATTAAATGTGGGTTAAATTCAATGGACTCTTTAAATTGAACTTTAGTGATTTTCTCATTTGTACAAGAGTATCAAAATCCAAGGTCTTAACATCATGATAAATTGTCTAGAAACTCATTTACTAAGAATGCATAAGACCCTGAAAAGGTTGTCCTGGGATGCCTGAAACATGTTCACAGCTGATTTATGCCAGAACAGAGGCCATGAAGAACTCTGAAGGATAGTCACCAGCTGTTAAGGGTTCCCATTTCCAGGTAAGTACAGTTCTCCATTATGTGCTGCACTTACCAGGTAACATCAGTCTCGTTTGGACAGTCTTTTCTTCGTCTTCCTTATTTCTTTATGTTAAGGTGATCATCAACTTTATATAAGCACCCACAGATAACTGTTCATTATTAGAACACCCATCATATTTAGGCCACTTCCTAAAGACACGTAGAGCAAATCTTAATGCTTTCACTGAGATATTTCCAATATAAATTGTAAAGGAGATAATTTTTTTTTTCTACACAGGAAATTACTTAGTATCATCAACAGTATGTATAGATGATATTATACATCAACTAAACCTCAATTTTAAAAATTGAAACAAAACAGTATGTAGGTTCTCAGGTTTTTGTAAGAGATGAGTAAAGTCCCTTTACTCACCTGCTTCCTAACAATGACCCTGGACATTTCAGCTTAGGTCTTGAGGTACATATTCTTTTGGGTCTCCTCAACCCTATTCTCATATTTTGAATCTGGTAACAGAAAATAAAACAGGAAATTTATTATATTTTATTATTATTATTTTTGGCCACACCACATGACTTGGAGGATATTAGTTCCCTGATCAGGGACTGAATCCAGGCCTGCAGCAGTCAAAGTGTGGAGTCCTAACCACTGGACTGCCAGAGAATTTCCAGGAAATTTTTTTAAAAAACTGATTTAATCTTTGGTCTAGTAACTCCAATGTGCAAGTAATGAAATGGAGAATACCCACTTATATACTAACTCACACACTCCTTCTCAACAGGGAAAATGTACTTGTCTAAAAAGGAACATACTAGTTCATTATTTGTGTTAATAATGGAAACAGTAGAACATGTCTGAGAGTATCTTTCAAGAGTTGCACTAGGGATGGAAATCCGATTTAAGCTTTAGAATCTCAATCATCTGAACTGACACTGTACTGCAAAGCAAAAGCAAAGCTTTAGAATCTCAATCATCTGAACTGACACTGTACAGAAAAGCAAACGATGCTGACAGAAAATATTCTACATTCTCTCCTGGGGCTTTTACAACCTTTGAAAGGAAATTGGTGCCCACTGAAACTACCGATTTATGCTAAAGGAGTATTGGTGCCTTGTGTCTGCTCCCCTGTTGAAAAGTTCTCAGTAAATGTTTTGACTCCCTCACAGCACTGATGGGACTTTCTCTCTAGTATGTTTTTTCCTATGTCTGAAAAGATTCGAGCTCTGACTAAAGGCTTTCCCACATTCATGACATTTGAAGGGTTTCTCCCCAGTGTGGGTTCTTCGATGTTGAATCAGGATTGCACTTCGGCTGAAAGCCTTTGCACACACGTCACATGTATAAGGTTTCTCTCCACTGTGGATCCTCTGATGTAGATTAAGGGCTGAGCTCTGAGTAAAGACTTTCCCACATTCATTACACTTGTGTTGTTTTTTTCGAGTACAGTTTCCCTGTCTTCTTTCAAACTTTCTATCTTGTTCACAGGTTCCTCTAAATGTGAAACTCTGGGAAGCATTCATTTGAAGAGTGTTAGAAACTTTGTGATGCAGTTCTTTGCCTGAAGAAGTCTTTCGCCTTGAAGCTGATTTCACATTTATAGTTCCGGTGTCTCTATCATTTTGTCTTAAGGTGTGATGCTCCTTCGATGCCCACTGCAGTTGCTTTTTTGTGGGCTTAAGCTGGCTACATGGTGTCTCCTGAGTGATTTCACAAGTTGATAGCTTCTTTGCAAGCATGTCCTTATTTCGCCCAAGAGAGACCTGTTCAGCTGCCCTGTCATGCTCTTTCTCCAGCTCCTCCAGCATCACCACGGCTTCCTCTCCACTCTCTGGTCGGTTCTCTTCAAACCAGGCCTGCAGCTCCTCAGGCAACATGGCCAGGAACTGCTCCAGCACGAGCAGCTCCAGGATCTGCTCCTTGCTGTGCACCTCTGGCCTCAGCCACTGACAGCACAGCTCGCGGAGCCGGCTCAGAGCCTCCCGAGGCCCAGATGACTCTTGGTAGTCAAACTGCCTGAACCGCTGGCGGTAGGTCTCTGAGCTGTAGTAGCTGCTCCAGTGGCGGCTGGAGACCATATTAGAGGCCTGCCCTCCCTCTTCCACCTTCATTACCACAATGCAGTCAGGGTCCCCTGAAGTTTGTGGAAGGAGTTTTGATGTCTCTCTCAATTTGGCAGACATTTGGACTAGGAATAGCTCAGAACTGCTAGGCTTTAATCTTCAAGAAGGTGAAACTCTCCTTATGGACACTCCTCTGGCCTAGGAAGGATGACCCCGCGTTTTGGGGGAGAAGCCGGGGAAGCGCCCAACAGGACGCTGCTCGAGAGTGGATCTTAAAAGTTCTTATCACAAGAAAAAAAAATTGTAACTATGTGAGGTGATGGATGTTGAGTAAACTATTGTGGTAATCATTTCACTATATATACATATATCACATCATTATGTTGTACACCTTAAATTAATACAATGTTATACGGCAGTTAGACCTCACTAAAAATGGAAAAAAGAAGAATTTGCAAAGTAAATTTGACACTTACTTAACAATAATGCATACTTGTTATTGTCCTGAATGATAATTGGGAATCTGTGGTGAACAATTCTTTTAATGGTTGCAATTATATTACTGTTACAGTAGAGTCAAACTCTTTTACCCTCTTTTAAGAAATTTTCTTGATTTTTTTCAATAAAAATGGTAAATATTAAAAGTCTATTCTGACTCTATAGGCAGTTTAACTTGATCACACTCATGCTGATTGATTTACACATTGAAAAACCCTCAATATTGAATTCCTACTTCACAGACTTATGGCGATTAAATGTTGTTCAAGTTTATGTTGTTGAAGATGAATTGTATTCCTCAAACCTCTTCCCCTATTATCCAGTCAAGACTCAGGGCAGACAAGACCATTCCTCTTACCTGTACTCCCTGCCATAGACAACCTCATTACATGATGAAAAGGATCAGGTTGAATAAACTGAATGATGGGCAAGGCCCAGGAAGTAATGGATTCAGGTTTTTCATTCATTCCTTCTTTCACAAATATCTGGATGCCCTTCTTAAAGCATCTGAACAACATGTCTGTTCTCTCTTTCCTTAAGGGCTTGCCTGAGATTATAAGGCAGCACAGATGGGGCTCTGAAGCAATGGATAGATGCTCAAAGTTGGGAAATAAATCTTATCTTTCCACATAATGCAAGTGCTACCTATTGTTTTTAGCTGCCAAGTACACTAGTCAGATTACAGGCCAGCTCCAATCATACCTTCTAGTGGCAAAGCTCATTTTCCTGGGCATGTGGCTCAGACCAGGTCAGTCAGAATACTTCTTCCTCTGGTGAGGTAAGTCATCTGATCCAAGCCACAGTATTTCACCAGGATTGTTCTAGATGGAGATAGCAAGGAAGGCCTTATTTTTGAATACTAGAGTTAGAAGTCTGTGAAAATAGATGTCAGTGGTCTTATTGCTCATCCTGTGGAGATAATGAAACCACAGAGAGACAGGAGAGTTACAGATATAGTGAGATATGCGAGAGAGGCAGACAGAGAGAGACTAGGAGACATTGAGTGGTGTTTCCAGGTCTGAGGCTCTGAAAGCTGACATTCCTCAGGGTGTTTGTTAGTCAAGGAAAATTTCTGGGCAGAGGAGGCTGTGTCCTCAGCTCTGTATCACACTTCACCATCTGGAGCTGAAAGCAGCACTGTTCATGCCCACGGCTTAGAATACGTCTTATATAAACAGTTCCTTCAACCTCTGACCTTCAGGTCCTTATCTTCTACCAGCAATGTCCTCAACTCACATGTCCCAAGAGAAGCAACTTTTTTCACGTATAAAGGAGTCAATCTCAAGGGAGACATTCACTCAAGGGAACCAAATCTGTTGAAATTCAACTCTTGTCTACCCAGTGAACAATCTTTTATATAATTAAACAAACCCTTCTTTTAAAAATTGTAGTCTTTGCTGTATATTTACATAACAAAAAATTCAAGAGATTTAATCAGAACAAAGGGGCTGTTTGTCCCAAATGTGGTTCCATGTTTTTGTGAAACAAACAAACAAAAAAAACTATTGGCAGCTTTGAAATGGAAATTTTTTCAGCTCCCTTACTCTTCTGAACCAAGGTGTCAAGATTCAGTCCTAGTTCTAGCTCAAGGTACCCTGCAACTTTCTTCCTCCTAGTAGTCTGTGCAAGAATCTTTTCGCAGCTTATGCTCTACAAATTGGAACTTAATCCTTTGGATGGTAGGGCAGGTGACTTTTCCATTTTGTTCCAGATGTCACTCTAAAATTCCAGTGCAGATCATAAGCATCTGAGTGGGGTTGTTCTGTGAGTAGTTAGAAATGTAGGACTAAAACAAAGTGAAATGCCAAGGAAAGAAAAAGAAACTTAGGAGAAACTACTGTGGAGGTAATTAGTTGGAGTAATCTGTCATGTGATGGGTTCAGAGCACTGTGACTTAAGGACACCTGTGGCACATTCTTTGGGGCAGGACTAGAAGCCTCCAAAAGAGACCAGGTTATGGACTTCCCTGGCAGTCCAGTGTTTAAGACTCTGAGCTTCTATTTCAGGGGGCACGGGTTCAATCCCCGGTCGGGAAACTAAAACCCCACACGCCAGTTCCCACACGCCGAGAGGTGCAAAAAAAAAAAAAAGAAGCAGGTTAGAACACAATGCAGTCCTCATAGCTCTATCTGGGTGTAGTGCAAGACCTCCTAATTTCTTGCCCTGCCTCTTCGGAAGACACTGTTGCCAATGTGATAACAGCTGCAATCCTGATCAGTCTCTTTCATCCTAAGTATTCACAATAGCTCTCTCTTCAGTCTTGATGCTTTTGCTGCTTGACTGGGTTCCTGACCTGGTCCCACTCCCCTTTCTGCTTTTGTTATTCATATTAACAACATAAAGGGGATTTTGACCTTCTATGTGACATGAGATAGGACACAAGACAGTTTGGGTATTATTTTTGTCCCTATGAAGAAAAGGGATGGGTATTTTAAAGAAAGACCCATAATTACCACAAGTAGGACTATGTTAGAAAAGCTGAGCTGCAACAAGGATGGGATTTCAACTGGAGAATGAGAACTAATAACTGGATTGGCCTCATTTTCCTTCATCTCCATCCTGCTGTTTAGTAAGAGACTAGAAGCAGACACTGAGGAAGATTCAGGATTTGGTGAGATAACATAGGTCCACTGCAGGTTAGGAAAGTCTAGGGTATTGAACTTCTGCTAGAAATGGTTGTATTAAATATTACCATCTTGGAATCCTGGTGTTTCAGATATGATAGATTGGTTTACATAATACGCATGCCACCCACTTCCCTGACTTTTTCTTATCTGACTCTATGACAGCAGCTGTAACCTAAAAACCCAATTTCATAGCCTTTCTTGAAACTGAAGTGCTATGTGACGTGGTTCTGGCCTATGAGGTATAAGCAGATGTGATTTAGCACCACTATTTTCCCTCTCTTCTTTTTGCTTGGTTTTTGGTTTTGGAGGACTGGAGGCACTGATGCCATTTGGTACCATGAGGCAACAAGTAAGAGGACAAATGAGATCATGATAAGGATGATAGACTAAAAAGGTAGAAAGAGTCTGGGTGTCCCATGGCATTGCTGAGCCATAACATTAGCGTGGAACTCCCTATCCCAGGACTTGTGTCGGTGAGACAGTAAACTTCTATTCCTTCAAGCTAGTGCTTCACATCCTTTTCCGTATCTTAGCACACAGGGAAATGATAATATTCATGTTCCACATGTAGGTAGCTAGACAAAGCTGCTTAGGACTGTAGACAATCTCTCATACCTTAAATGCCCACTCTAAAGACTAAATGATCACTATCTCAGCTTACTTTTAACCATTTGCAGCTCTCAGAGAATTCTGATTTAAGCCACTTTTAGGCAGGGTTTCTTTTCTCTGAAGCTGAACACATCTTCGATGCACTAGATTCTGAAGAGAATCTTGGGAGGTAAGAAAGTAACTTTTAACCTGAGAAAAAGTGAATGACTTAGCTAACTGAAATTCATAATGAAGGTAAAAAGCAAGTTAGCCTCTGTAAGGTAAAAGGGAAAATGTGGCATGTAAAAAAGAAATTCTGTTGAAAAGAAGGGATTTCTGATTTAAAGAATCAGAGGGTTGGGTTTCCCTGGTGGCACAGTGGTTGAGAGTCCGCCTGCCGATGTAGGGGATACGGGTTCATGCCCCGGTCCGGGAAGATCCCACATGCCGCGGAGCGGTTAGGCCTGTGAGCCATGGTCACTGACCCTGCGCGTCCGGAGCCTGTGCTCCGCAACGGGAGAGGCCACAACAGTGAGAGGCCCTCGTACCGCAAAAAAAAAAAAGAATCAGAGGGTTGCTCATTGTGATGAGATCAAAGTAAAGGCTCTGCCTGGCGGATGGAATGGAGATGGAGGTCTACAGAATCAAGGGAGGAAAGAAAAGACTAAGGGAAGTGGAGCTGTTACATTACCTTAGGGTATGGAGGATACTGGAAGAAGGTACTGTTGTAGCCTGAAGGTACCCAAGGAGAAGGAAGAGGTCTCTGCTAGAGGAGAACTGTGATGCTGTGAACAGGGGAAGGGGAGTTTGACTGAGGATTTACATTTCACATGATGAGACTGGAAGGGAAGGTGCTCACTCTATTGTCTAGAAGTAGCATTGGGAATCTAGGAGAATATCAATTCTGAGGAATGGACCAAATATTTCTCCTTCTCTCAACCTTGCCATTCCCACACCTCCCCTTTGACCTTTTCCTGCTCCTCCTCTTCTGGCCAACTTAGGTCAGATTGCAGCACTGAAAATAAAATATATAGATGAGTATATTTTTCCAAACTTCCTTGCTTGATGACAAAGATTCTCTACTTGACCGAACCCTACTCAGTTTCCGCAGAACTCTTTTTCAGCTAGGCCTGACTAGGTGTTCCTTTCAGCATTTTCCAATTTTATCAAGATTCCTGATAAGCCACTTTAACCCTCATTATGTAATTTGCTTCCTTATCTGCCACCATCCCCCAGGTGGTGTCTGATCACCCTGGCCTGCCTTCAGCAAGAATCCTGTTAGGTCAGATTCGCCAGAGTCCCCCCTTACCCCTGATATTTCCTCTTAGTAATGACCACCCCCCACTCCCAGCTCTGCTCCGTGGCTAAAACCTCCCACTTGCCTCTGCTGTATTGGGAGTTGAGTCCAATCTCTCTCTCCCACTGCAAGATCTCACTGCAGTTTGTCCCTACATCCGTTGCGATGGTCCCCCTTGAATAACATCTGCCTTACTTACCACCTTCAACAAGGTTCATGGATAATATTTTCTTTAACAATTTGAATAATATTTTTTCTCTAATGTTGATTAGGAGTTAACAACAATGAAATAATAATGGTTATTACTGTAGATAATATAGGTATTACAGACAATATACTGTTGAACGCATACTATATGTCTGATACCATTCAAAGTGCTATGCAAATATTAACTCATTTAATTCTCATAAAAACCCAACCAACTTGGTGTTAAGGCAGCATTGAGCATTATGATTTGGTGTGTGAAAGACAAAATGCACTAGACAATTAAGGAAATTATTTTATTTGTCTGACTGCAGTAAAGAGACTATTTAATGAGGAATGTCTCAAAGAAAAGGGAGAGGCCTGGGGTTTTATAGGGGCAGATAAACAAGGGTGTCATCTGCCATGTGGGGTTATGCGGAATGACAGAGACATCTCGGAACATGTGAGGCCAGAGTTGTGCTTTGTAGTTAGCCATTTCCCAGAACATGAAAGGGTACACGGATTTCTCAACCACTGCTGCTCGAAACATAGAGTTCAAATAAAAGTTCAACACTGTCAGGTGAATGAAGAATGAGAGAAGTATCTGAATGTATCAAACAATTTAATGATAATTTTCATTAAATTTCATTCAACTCTACACCCCTAATTCAAACCCTTTAACGTTAATTAAATGCAAGGCCTGTTATTCTACATGTTATCTAAAATTATCTACTGTTAAATTTAAGGAGAATGGAAAACAGGATCATCCTCAGTGCTACATCTTAAGAAAAGCCAACATGTGATAGACAACTGGAAGGTGGTTACTTATGATACAAAATGATGGCTTAAAGTTTTTAACAAACTTCCCAATGATTTAATTTTGGAAATAGTAACAACAGTGAAAGGCCACCCAAGAACATAATAATAAGAAAAATAAGATTGCTCTCTGGGAAAGCTACTCTTATGGCTTTTACAAAAAATAGGAACAGGTCTGTCTAGGTCATACGTTATCTCCAGAACATCAAATAGTGCTTTGCATAGAGTAGGTCTCAAATATTTGCTTAAATTAGTGACTTTGTAGGAGTAAACTTGGAGACTGTGTAGAACTACAGGATTAAAGATTTTG